TTCTTCTTCTTCTTCTTCTTCTTCTTCTTCTTCTTCTTCTTCTTCTTCTTCTTCTTCTTCTTCTTCTTCTTCTTCTTCTTCTCCTTCTCCTTCTCCTTCTCCTTCTCCTTCTCCTTCTCCTTCTCCTTCTCCTTCTCCTTCTCCTTCTCCATCTTCTTCTGTTAGTTGTGGGGCTTGAAATCTCAGCTTATATGTTGTCCTTGTGCTCTTCAGCTCAAGGTGAGCCACAGCATCACTTCCAGTTTTCTAGTGGTTTATTGGAGATAAGAGCTTCATGGACTTTCCTGCCTGGGCTGGCTTTGAACTGCAGTCCTCAGATCTCAGCTTCCTGAGTAGCTAGGATTACAGGCGTGAGCCACCGGCGCCTAACTATAGCCACTTCTGTTAAATTATCACCATGAGAATTTCTAAAGTCCTTCAATTAAGACGCAAACTTAGTTGCCATAGTCACCTGTGAATGAGTGGTTGTACAGGAGTACCAGGCACACCTGAGTTGGAAGGCATTCTGCCCCCAAGCCAGATTTGAGTGACGACAGCCCATCCACAGCCACAGCCTCTTTTTCATAACACTAAATGTAATACAAAAATAGTACAGGGGGGGGGGGCTGGGAAGGTGGCTCAGTGGTAGAGCGCTTGCTTTTCATGCCTGAGGCATGAAGGCCGGAAGTGGCGCTGTAGCTCAAGTGGTGGAGCACTAGCCTTGAGCTGAAGAGCTGAGGGACAGCGCCCAGGCCCAGAGTTCAGGCCCCATGACCGGACCCAAAAAAAAAAATAGTACAGGGAACTTAGCCACCCGGCCAGCGCTATAAATACGTACATAAACATTTCTCATAGATGAGTGTCCTGTGTAGCCCTGAGCTGAGGTGCCAATTATCTAGACTATAATCTTCCCTGTTTTGTCTGAAGTTTATGTTTTTATTTTCCAAGTTCTTTTTTAACCTTGCCTTTCTTTAGCTCAATCCTTTGCTTGATTGTCGATTCCCTTATCAGTACGTTTTTATTTTATTGTTTTTCTTTTGCTAATGTATTGCTCGTGTTTGACTCCTCTCCTTCCATTTGCTTCTCTATTTCAATAATTCTTCATCTTTTAGGTCTTTTCTTTTTTTCCAGAGTTTCACTAGTGTCTGGCCTATCCTTTCACCCATACTCACACTCTGTCTTTCTCTGATTGAACTCAGGTTCTCAAGCTGCTTGTGCAATTGCTCTGCCAGTTGGACCATGCCCCCAATCCAGCTTTGAATCTTTCTAGTTGATGCCTCCTCAGTATATAAATCTTTTCTTTTGACTATCATCTCAGCATCTTACACTCTTCATCTTCCATTCTGCAATGTTGTTTTACAAACAGGCTAGCTAATATTCCAGACAGACAGACAGACAGTTATAATCTGTTCTGAACTGGTCTATTCTCCTTTCTTTTTGATCAGAGAACTGATGATGACATGTGCTCTTATATTTATTGTTTCAGATGAAGACACCAAAACTATAAATGAGAAATCTGCTTCAAGGAAGAAAACTTTCTCAGGTGTGGACCTGCATTGTGATGTTTCTAGCACATTTCCAATGAATGCTTCCCCAAGTTTCACATCTACAGGAACCTGGGAGCAAGATGGCAGGTTTGAAAGAAGACAGGGAAACCCCTCTCGAAGAAAACAACACAAGTGTGATGAATGTGGAAAAATCTTTAGTCAGAGCTCATCCCTTATTTTACATCAGAGAATCCACAGTGGGGAGAAGCCGTATGCGTGTGACCAGTGGGCGAAAGCTTTCAGCCAAAGCGCCATTCTGATTCAGCATTGAAGAACTCACACTGGGGAGAAGCCCTTTAAGTGTCATGAATGAGGCAAAGCCTTTAGTCAGAGCTCCAATCTTTTCCGACATCGAAAAAGACACAGGAGAGAAAAAGTCCCATCAGTGTGTCATGAGGGAATCAAAGCACATACTCAGAGCTTTCACAGGATAAGAAAAGACAAGGTATAGTCACTGTTAGGATAGACTAATGGTTTTAGTAATTACCAGTTTCCAGGGTCATAAAAGCCATGGGAGAGAATTACAAAGTAGTTCATGCTAATATTTGCTTTTCTGCTTACAAGTGTAGAGTCAATTTCAGGGGTTTAAGATTCCAAAGCCTAATTCACTTTTTTCATCCTTAAGCAACACTATTTTAGATATTTGTCCTTTTTAGCCAAGTACACTTTTCCTCGTTGAGAAGGAATATGTGCACTATTCAGCACAGAAATATCCTCCCCTATTTCATAACTTGAGCACTAGCATTATAAAGACCAAAGATTAAATCTTTTTTCATTTTTATTCTTAAATAATTTTTATTGAGACTAAATGATTAAATAAGTTTCACAAATTTCACAGTATTGTGGGATAGTGATACTTAGTTAAAGTCACAAACATATTTTAACCTTCACAAAGCAAATTTTCATTATCGTGGCCTGTAAAGTTTGTGAATTCTATAAGCTTTGACAATACAACTATTTCTTTTTTTAGTATATATTTTTATTGTAAAGATACTGTACAGAGGGGTTATAGTTACATGAGTAAGGTAATGACTCCATTTCCTATCGAGCATTGTTACCTCCTCTTTTGTTTTTTCCCTACCATCCCTTCCCTCCCCACCTCCCCAACTCTTCCCCGCACCAAGTTGTAAAGTTCGTTTTCAACATAGTGTCTTGTACATCCCATTGTTACAGTGGGTCAGCCTGTGTCCTTAATATCACCATTTTTTCCATATCATATATACATTTCTTTTCTTTTGCTTAGTGTCAGCTGTTCCCGCTTTCCCTTTCATTCCCTCCCTCCCAACGCTGCCCTTGAGTTGCTTAGTTCATTTTCATCAATGTCCAGTGCAGCTGATGGGCCCCTCTGTTGTATATTTTCCCCTGTTTCCCTCTGATTCTGTGCCCTCCTCCTAACTTCCCTCAGATGGGCATATTTATATACCATATATGAGGTCAAGAAAACAGAGTCATTTAGAAGTGATACAACAAGGGCTGGGAAGATGGCTCAGTGGTGGAGTGCTTGCCTTGCATGCCTGAGGCCCTGGGTTCGATTCCTCAGCACCACATAAGAAGAAAAAGCTGGAAGTGGCACTATGGCTCAAGTGGTAGAGTGCTAGCCTTGAGCTGAAGAGCTGAGGGACAGCACCCAGGCCCAGAGTTCAGGCTCCACGACCGACAAAAAAAAGAAAAAAAAAAGAAATGATACAACAAATTAAGTAGAGGCCATTTGTTTCTTGAGTCCTGTTTGCTTTGTTTTATCTTCTTGCATTTTGAGTTTAACATCCACATATCAGGGAGACCACATGCCATTTGTCTCTCTGCTCTTGGCTTACCTTGCTCAAAATGACTTTTTTCTAGTTCCATCCATTTCCCTGTGAATGCCATTATTTTGTCCTTTCTAATGGCTGCATAATATTCCATTGCATATAGGTACCACAGTTTTTGGATCCATTCATCTGTAGTGGGGCATCTGGGTTGTTTCCATATCTTGGTTATTGTAAACAGTGAACAATGAACATAGAAGTTCATGTGTCCTTGTTTCCTGGTTCCTGTTGCTCAGGGTAGATGCCTAGGAGTGGTATGGCTGGGTCATGGTGGGGGGTGTCAATATTTGGCTTTTTGAGGTATCTCCAGAATGTTTTCCAAAGTGGTTGTATTTGTGTACATTCCCACCAGCAGTGCAATAGGGTTCCTCTTTCTTCACATCCCCACCAACATTTGTCATTGGCAGAATTTAGGATATGGGCCATTCTGACTGGAATAAGGTGGTATCTCAAGGTTGTTTTTATTTGCATTTCCTTTATGATCAGGGATGAGGAACATTTCCTCAGGTGTTTCTTTGCCATCTTTATCTCTTCTTCTGAGAAGTCTCTCTTAGTTCCCTCCCTATTTAATGATTGGTTTGTTAGATTTGGGAGGGATTAGTTTCTTGAGTTCCCTATATATAATGGATATTAGGCCTTTGACTGATATATTGCTGGTAAATATTTTTTCCCAATTGGTTGGCTATTTCTACTTTGATAGCTATGTCTTTAACTGTACAGAAACTTTTTAGTTGAGTCTCTCTTCAATTTGCTCTGACCCTAAAACTCTGTTCAGGAAGTTCCTCTCTGTGCCTATAAGTTCAAGTGTCTCTCCTCCTCTGTCCTGCAGTAGTTTCAGAGTTTCAGGTTTGATGTTAAGGCCTTTAATCCATTTTGAGTTGATGTTAGTGCATGGTGACAAGCTGGGGTCCTTTGCATGTGGCCACCCAGTTTTCCTAGCACCAGTAGTTGAAGAGGCTGTGTGTCTTCCACTGTATGTCTTTTGCTCCCTTCTCAAATATCAGCTGACTGGAGGTATGTGATTTTATTTCTGGATCTTCAAATCTGTTCCATTGGTCTTCAGTTTATTTTTGTCTTTGTTATTATGGCTATATGATAGAGCTTGAAATCTGGTATCATGATGCCTCCTGCATTGTTTCTTTTGCTTAGAATTGCGTTGGCTATTCTATGTCTTTTGTTGTTCCATATGAATTTTTGGATTGTTTTCTCTATTTCAGTAAAGAATGTCATTGGGCATGATCTTGTATTTAAAGAATCCCATGGACTCCACTCCCAAATTATTCAGGCTGAGCCAAAACTTTGGCAAAGTAACAGGTTATAAAATTAACCCTCAAAAATCAATGGCTTTTCTGTATCCCAACAATGAGAAAAGCAACTCCATTCGTAATAGCCCCACAAAAAATAAAATACCTAGGAATTAACCAAAGAAGTGAAGGACCTCTATGATGAAAACTTTAAAAACCTGAAAAAGGAAACCAAAACAGAACTTAGACAGTGGCAAAACCTCCCATGCTCCTGGATTGGAAGGATCAACATAGTGAAAATGGTGATACTTCCCAAGGCTATCTACAAGTTCAATATTCCAACCTCATTCTTCAAGGAAATAGAAGAGGCAATCCAAAAAATTCATATGGAACAATAAAAGACCCCAAACAGCAAAAACAATCCTTAACAGAAAGAACACTGCTGGAGGAATATCAATACCAAATTTCAAACTCTACTACAAAACCATAGTAATCAAAACAGCTTGGTACTGGCACAAGAACAGACCTCAGGACCAATGGAATAGAACTGAAAACCCAGAAATGAACCTACAGACCTATAGCCATCTAATCTTCGATAAGGGAGCTAAAACAATAGAATGGAAGAAAGACAACCTCTTTAGTAAATGGTGCTGGCAAAATTGGTTAACTACATGTAGAAAACTTAAGCTAGATCCTTATATATCACCCTGCACCAGAATCAACTCCAAATGGAGCAAAGACCTTGAAGTCAAAGCAGACACTCTGAAAACATTACAGGATGGAATAGGAGAAACCCTAGGTCTCCTTGGCTCAGGCCGAAATTTTTTGAATAGAGACCCGGAAACACAACAAATCAAAGAAAGGTTGGACAAATGGGATTGCATAAAGTTGCAGAGCTTCTGCAGGGCAAATGACATAGCTAGCAAGATCAATAGAAAGCCCACAGATTGGGAGAAGATCTTTACTAGCCATACAACAGACAAGGGTCTCATATCTAAAATATACTTGGAACTCAAAAAATTAAACCCCCCAACAACAAATCCTCAAAGAAACAACTGCCCAATAAATAAGTGGGCGAAAGACTTAAAGAGAAACTTCTCTGAAGAGGAAAGAAGGATGGCCAATTGACACATGAAGAAATGCTCAACATCCCTAGCCATAAAAGAAATGCAAATCAAAACAACATTGAGATACCACCTCACCCCAGTTAGAATGGCTATAATAAAGAACTCTAATAACAACAGATGCTGGAGGGGATGTGGACAGAAGGGAACCTTACTGCATTGTTGGTGGAAGTGTAAACTTGTTCAACCACTTTGGAAAGCAGTGTGGAGGTTCCTCAAAAGACTCCACATAGAGCTCTCCTATGACCCAGCAATCCCACTTTTGGGCATTTACCCAAATGATCACAAACAAGACCATACTAAAGCTACCAGCACAACAATGTTTATTGCAGCATTATTTACCATAGCTAAGATATGGAACCAACCCAGATGCCCCTCAGTAGATGAATGGATCAAGAAAATGTGGTATATATACACAATGGAATTCTATGCCTCCATCAGAAAGAATGACATTGCCCCATTTGTTAGGAAATGGAAAAACTTGGAAAAAATTATATTAAGTGAAGTAAATCAGGCCCAAAGAAATAAAGGCACCATGGTTTCCCTTATTTGCAATAACTAGTATATGTCTGAGACAAGCAGAAAAGGTCAGATAAGTTGATGTTAGGCAAAATGAACCCCAAGATAAATATGCAAATGTTTTTTCTTTCATGTGTTTGTTTCTACATATTTATAAGATGACTTCTTTGTTGCTTTTCATGTCCTTCCCCCACGATATAACCCCTGCTTTCACTGTATATGATGTTGGTATAATTTGTGGAGAGGAAGGGAAAAAACAAATTATTTAAATAGGGATACAGGTGGACCCATTGCAACAACAAGATGTACAAGTCCTTATGTTGAAAAATGAACTTTACAACTTTGGCAGGGGTGAGGTGGGGAGGGAGCTGGGGTGTGGGGAGGAGTTGGGAAGGGATAGGAAGGGGAAACAAATGCTTGATAAGAAATGTACTCATCTTGCCCATGTAATTGTAACTCCTCCGTACACTATTTTCACAATAAAAAATCATTTAAAAAAAAAGGAATGTCATTGGGATTTTCATGGGAATTGCATTGCATTTGTATATCATTTTTGGCAGTATGGCCATTTTCACAATA